CTTTGAGCCCTGCATCGGGCTCTCTGCTGTCAGCACAAAGTCTGCTTTAGATCTTCTGTCCTGCTCTCTCCCTGCCCCTCCCTGCTGTTTTTTTTTTTTTTTTTTTTTTTTTTTTTTTTTTTTTTTTTTTTTTTTTTTTTTTCTTCTTCATCTATTCTCTCTCTCTCAAAAGGAAAAAAAAAACTTTTTTAGGATAGGTCTATTTTGGTTGTGCCTTTAACTGTAGGGTAAATGCCTCAATCCTGGAATACAGTATTTCCTCTTAAGGCAGGGATCTTCTGGTATTTCAATGGAGAGCCTGAGTTATTTAGTGAGTCCTGATTTAGTGGGATTCAGACTTTTTGTGGTGGGCAGAAGCTGAAATCATCTGCTCAGCCCTTTCAACTTTAAATTCTTTCACCCCTTGATGCTTTGGAGTTTCATGTTCAGTTTAGGGATCAGCCAAAAATTTGAGGAGAGTTCATATGTACATTTTCTCTCCCTCTACCCCCCCACCCCTCCATGACACTCGTCTTTCCAGAATGACTTCCTTCAACGTCTGGCTGCTCTGGCAGTCCCCAAATCTGTTCTCTGCCTTCTCAAGCCATTAAGACTGAGGATTTTGCTTAGTTTCTATCTACCCTGCACTGAGTAGAACACAGGCTCTCAAGGAAAAAGCCATTCAGAGGTGAATATTGTTTATGGTGATACTCTTTTTTTTCAAGAATCCATTTTCTTCCAGTTTCTGCCTGCTTTTGGTTGCTCCCCATTGCCTTTAAATCTTTCTTTCTCTCCTTTCGTGGACAGTTTATAAGTGTTATTTGTAGGAGGTTCATCTGATTCAAGCTCTTCTGCCACTACCAGAACTGGAATTCTCTCCATAATGGACATGTAATTTCAATGAGAAATCTTTGATTTTTTTCTTAACTGCAGGATTATTCCTGTTCCTTTATAGTCTGACAAAGATACAGCTACTAATTTGCTTGGAGGCCATGTCCGAGAACTTTCAAGTGGACTGTTAATAGTGTCCCCTACTTCCGTTGTGTCTATCTAGTATATCACCTTCAGATTAATGTTTCTAAAACACAGCTCTGGACTTGACATATTGTAAGCAAGATTCTTCGTTGATATCCTATAACCTGCCGAATAAAATTTGAGTCCCTTAGCTTATCATCCAAAGCCTCCACTGTCTGGTCCCCAGAACTCTGGTTGTCTGCCCTGTCATAGCATCATAGTAGAAAACCATTTACCTGAAAGAGCCTGGGACGTGACTTGCTGAGGATTAGCGCTCTTAACACTAGGAGAACACAGTGTTTAAATAGGATATGATTAAAAGTTTTGTAAATCTTCTAGATGCATTCTGTTGTTTTCATTGTGGGTTTTGTTGTTGTTGTTGTTGTTGTTGTTGTTGTTATTACTACTTTTATGTTTTAATATAGATTCAGGGATGGGACACACATTACATATTTGTGTAGCTACAGTTTAAATCTTTAATGTTTGCACAACTAAAAATATAAATGGCAGGGAATTATCTGAAAACCCTTAAGACATTCCTGCAGCAGTCCCTTACATTGCTCTCATCCTATTTTTGGAAGATGAATTGGTGGCAGTGACCACACTGTTGGTAGAAACCAAATACACAATTTCAAATATTACTGCAGGAAGGAAATTATCCTGCAGCTATTAATGTAACATGTATTTTTAAGGTGTGTTCACTTTTTTTGAATTCTTATAGAAATATCCCAGCTCAGCACAGAGCCTGCTTGAGATTCTCTCTGCCCCTTCCTCCCGCATGCCTTCTCTCTCTCTTTCTCTCTCTCTCCCTATTTCTCTCAAAAAAGTAAACTTAAAAAAAAGAAATATCCCAGCTTTTGGAAGTTTCTGTTTTTGAACACCCAAAGAACAAAGTCTTCTAGTGTGTACGTAAGTCAGTGGTGGTCATTTCTTACGCATTTTCGTATGCCTACAATCTCAGAGACTTAGTCACAGTTTATTGCACATTCACAGAAACGGAAAGAACCTTAGATTACCCCAACTCCTTATGCAAAATTTTGGCAGCCTTCCACACATAGTGGGTTCCCAATGAATACTTGCTGAATTAAAACCAATTAGGGGGCACCTGGATGGCTCAATCATTTAAGCAACTGACTTTGGCTCAGGTCATGATCTCATGGTTCATGAGTTCGAGCCCTTCAATCGGGCTCTGTGCTCACAGCTTAGAACCTGCTTCAGATCTTCTGTCTCCCAGTTGCTCTTGTTCTCTCTCTCTCTCTCTCTCTCTCTCAGAAATAAATAAACATTGAAGAAAACAATTAAAATTACATTTAGTTTTCTCTTTGGACTTTAAAGTTTGTTCAATAGGAGTTACAGATAAAATCTGTGGTTTTGTGTTCAAGTTCACACCATGCAAAAGGCAACACAACTACATGGTGCTGGTTTCCAGTGAAAATAGTGGCTGATAAAGTAGAATACTCCTCATTTAAATAATGTTACTTTGCTTATTGGTTCCAAAGAGTACTTTTAGCATCCTGTTGGACCACCAGTAAATTATATTGCAAGTTGATGTTTAAAAAAGGCTTCTGGCCTTAAGGCACACGGATACTGTCAGCTTTCCTGAATTCTTCCAATTTCACCATTTGGGGAAGCCACTTTACCAGCGCTAGCATGAATTTTTTATTTTGAGTAAATAGCAATAATAATAATTTCCTTCTGTACCGTAGGGTTGTTACAGGGCTTAAATAAGATAGTGCTATAATAGGGCCTTAAACTTTTATTTTAAAAGTGGTAACCAGTTACCTAATAATGTATGGCATCACAAAATGTTATATGAATCAGGTATTGTCTTTACCAATGGGTATTGATTGCCTTTGTGTAATTATCTATACCTACTTACACTCCCTAAGAGTCTTCATTTTTTAAAAAAGCCATTAGATTATTATAATGGTAGATTTCCATTTCTTTACTTTGATAGATTTCCCTATTCTGGTACTGTTTATTGTTGTTATTACTAAGATTTACCATAATGTTACCGAGAATGTGCTCTAGATTAAATTATTTTAATTACATTAAGCAACACATATTATTTTTATTGAGTATTTACTGTAATTTACTTAGTCTCAACCAAGAGAGCAGGAGAGTCCTAGTCTGAAGGGAGTGCTTTAGAGCTTGTTCACTGCTTTACAGTAATCAGTGAAACCCCTTCTTTCCTTTATCTGCATGTTTTCAATGACCCATGACTCAGTCCTCGGACCTCTTCACTTTTCAGTCTGTGCTCACTCTCTGTATGATCTCATCCAGTCTCATGGCTTAAAATAATGACCACAAGCTGACTACATCTCCAGCCCAGACCTCTCCCTGACACAGACCTGTGCATCTAACGGCCAACTTGACATATCCACTTAGATCCCTCTCAGGCATCTCAAACTTAACACATCCAAAACTGAACTGGGGAAGTTTCACATAAACCACATGCCCTTAAATGGCAGTTCCATTTTTCCTAAGGGTTCAGTCCAAGAATCTTAATGTCTCTAACTCCTGTTTCTCTCTGGTCTATGAGCAGATGCTAACAGTTCTGCCTCTAAGATGCATCTAGATTCTGACCACTTCTCACCACTGTCACTGCTACCACACTGACCAGAACCACCGTCATCTCTCCCCTGGATTGTGGTGGTAGCCTCCTACCCCGGATCTCCCTGCATCTGTTGAGTCAGTTGTCAGCATAGCAGCCAGAGTGATCCTGCTAAGTGTAAAGCACATCAAGTCATTTCTCTGCTCGAACCTTTCTGTTACACTCAGAGTAAAAAAGTCCAAGTCTTAAATATGATCTTTACTATGGCCTCATATGTCTGGCTCCCATTAGCTCTTTTTCCTTACCTCTTACTTTCTACTCATGCTTTCTACTCTTTCACACTTGGCTGTACCTTAAACATGCCAAGTATCCTCCCCAACCCTACCCTTCCCTCTTTCGCTTTTCCCTCTGCCTGTTTTCTCCCCAAGATATCCATACGGCGCCTTTATTTCCTTCCGACTTTTATTTAAAGCATCGTTGAGTGAGGTCTTCCCTACTCTTTTTAAAATATCAATATCCTCCCACATCCTCCCACATCTCCACCACGTTGTATGCCCCTTCTCTTCATGTCCCCCTAGCACTTAACTGTCCAACATTTGTATATTTTACCTAATTACCTTGTCTGTTGACTGTCTCCTCCCAATTGAATGAAAGTTAATGATAGCAGGGACTTCTGAGTGCCTTTCTCATTGCTGTATCCTCAGTGTTTGTTTGTTTGTTTTTTTAAGTTTATTTATTTAAGTAATCTCTACACCCAAGATGGGACTCAAACTCACAAACTCAAGAGTTGCATGATCTTCTGACTGAGCCAGCCAGGCACCCCTCTCCTCAGTGTTTCTAATAGTGCCTGGTACTTATTTTTGAAATTAATAAATGAATAATAGAACTAGGCTACAGTTTTACATTTTGCCAGCAGATGCCTCTCGCTAAGCATATTCCCACATCCGAATGTTTGAAGTTACAGTTTGGTCCACAGTATGAAATAGTTAAACATTTGCAGTTGTATAATTTAAAAGTCTTCCCACTGAAATCACACGTGTAAATGGTGGGCAGGCATAGCTTAAACAACTGCAAGAGGGCCTTCGAATAATTCACTTTGCTGCTGCTGTGATATCTGAATGAAAGTTGCACCATTGCCTGTGAGGGCTTGTGTAGCTATCAAAAATTTCAGAGAGAGGGAACGTGGCTGTACGTATATGAGAGTTGGAAATAAATGTAGTATTAATCTTATCTGTAATATAAAGTCTATTATGTTATGTTATTTTAAAGTGACTCTGTTATGTCTGTGTTAGGTTAAAGTGTTATGCCTATATTATCTGTAAATCATATTTCTCATCTATTTTTTAAAAGAAATTTCAAGGCAGGAAAGATGAAGTTTCATATTCTGATTATACATATTAGTTTATATTAGTGTAGTAGTCTTTGTTTTAACCATTTTTTTTTTTTTATTCAGGGCAACACAACTATTTATGTGCTGGAAGAAATGACTGTATCATTGATAAGATTCGACGAAAGAATTGTCCTGCCTGCAGACTTCAGAAATGTCTTCAAGCTGGAATGAATTTAGGAGGTAAGTCTTGTGTTTTTAGTTAAATAAAAATTGTTAAGATGGAAGCTCTGTATACTCCCAAAATTTAAGATGAAGCTAACATGGAGCAAAGATTCCTAAAAATCTTAACAAGTTCTATACTCATGCTAAAACATTTTAGTATTTCTTTCTTAGCACCAGTTTAAAAAAAGTATGTTATGTGGCTGTAGTCCTAGTGAAGTTTTCAACCCTGAGTTTGCGAAGGTTTCAAAACCTGGGAACATAACCAAAACCAACACAAAAATGAATGACTTTTTATATAAAACCATAACTAACAGTTTTTATTACAATGTCTGTTTAGAAATAAGCCCTATATGTGATAACACTAATCAGATATGAATACATTTCTAATCTAAGAATAAATGTAATAAAGGAAGACCTGTATTTAAACAAAAAACAAAAACAAAAAAAACTTTGAAATATCACATGAACCTGCCAAAAGGGGGGTAGGATGGGTGGTGGGATGGTAAAAGACTTGAACCAAACACAAAAGTGTACAGTGTCCATGAATGGGAAGGTCCAGTGTGCTAAAGGTATCAGTTTTCCCTGAATTAATTTATTGCATGTAACACAGTCCTAACTAAATTACCAATTGGTGATTCTAAGTTCTTAAACAACAGGCAACAAAATTCTGAAAAAGATAAATATTAAGGGCAACTAGCTCTACCAAATAATAAAGCATATGATATAGCTATAGTCATTAAAATGGTCTGTTTGTTTACTGATTGTAAGATCAACAGAAAGTCAAGAAAAAAACTAACATGAGATTTTTGTATATAGTAAATTTGGCATTCCAGATCAGTGGTAAAAGGATAAATTATTCAACAGAAATTATTGTGACAACTGGGAAGCAATCTGGGAAACAAGAAAGTTGAATCCAAACTCATAATCTCCACCCAAATAAATTGTAGTCTTTCAAAGTTTTAAACTTGGAAATATAACCATAGAAGTACGAAAGGAAAACATGGATATTTCTTTAATACTCTTCAAGTGGAGAAGACCTTTCTAAGTATAAAACTCAGAAGCTATTAAAGAAAAGAATTGAGGAAGTCAACACTATTTACAAATCAAATATTGCTTCAAAGGCAAATAATAAATAAGCTGGGAAAAAGTACTTGCGACTTATAGACAAAGGGTTTATTTCTTCATAAAAAGCTCCTACAATTTCATAAGAAAAAGAAAGTTCCTATAAAAAATGAGATTGAACAGAACAAGAAGATGAACAGAACACTTAAAAGAAATACAATTGGTACTTGAAACACATGAAAAGAGTCTCAGTCTAAGCATAATAAGAGAAACGCAAATTTAAGATATTTTTTACAAATGTCAAAAATAAAAAATGTTTATGATATATTGTTTGATCATACAGAAATAAAGTAAAATTCAGTGGTGATCTTATGCATTTGAGGTGGAAATAAGGTGATACAGCCCCTATGGAGAGGAATTTCGCTATTTCAGTAAAATGGTAAACATTTGACTCAATAACTCCACTTTTAGGAATTTATCCTAAGTATATTTTTGCAAGTAAGACATGATAAATTCATAAAATAGTTATTATAACATTGTTGACCATCAGAAATACATTATTCATGTGGTCAAGATTGATTAAATAAATTACAGATACTCTTCAGACATTAATAAGAATAAAGGAAGCTCTATATGGATTGATCTCCAAAATACTGTTTATTGAAAAAAATCAGGTTGCAAAATAGATGTTTTGTCTACTACTAGTGGTATATCTGTTTCAGAAAAAGAATATATATTGTATCAAACATTTCTGGAATAGTATCCAAGAAACAAGAAACTGGTCATGTTGTCTCAGTAGAAAGGATTGGGTAGCTGAGAGACAAGGATAGGAAGCAGAATTAGTGTCATTGTATTCTCTTCCATGGCTTTGAATTTTGTATTCTGTTTAATGCATGTGTTATGTACACATGTTGCCTAATTAAAAGAAATAAAGTAATATGAAAAAGAAATCAAATGAGACTTCATCCTTTGATGAATGAACCAATAGGCTGCTAGTCGGGACTGGTGAGTAAAATGGCAGGATGGAGAGCAGAGAGACTTTTAGAAATCCAGAGGAGTATGGACTGTGGCCAGCTGAGACTGCTCATGTCAGACTGTGGCCTGAATATGTGACACAGTAGCTCAGCCAGAGAGGCTCTTGCTGGTTAAGAGGATGGGCTCTGGAGCCAGAATGCCTAGGTGGGAATCCAGCTACTTCTTGACCGTGTAACCTCAAGGGAGCTACCACCTTTTCTGTGCCCATGTTTCCTTATCTTCAACTTGTAGTGATCAGCATGTCTGCCTCATAGACTGTGATGAAGATTGAATGAGTCAGTGTGCAAAGAAGAGAAAGCACTCAGTGCATGTTCAGTGGGTGGAGGTAATGCTCATTGTGATTTCCATAGCGCCTTCACACATGATCCGAATGATATTATTGCCCCATGTTTTGGTGATGGTGAACCTCAGGTGCCCAGAGAGGCTAAGTGACTTGCCCAGACATGTCACAGCCGGTAAAATGGTCTTATATCTCTAGGCTTGTGGTCTGGTGTTTCTAGTAACCACACTGTTCCCTTTTTCTGTTATCTGAATCAGTGCAAATGTGGCACAAAAGATCACCTTCTTAAGCGTGTGAGTGAGAATCAGGAGATATGAATCATTTAAAATCTAGATGGCACAAGGGTACAGCCATTGGTTATAAAATAAACTCTGAATCAATTTTGTAAAATCCAACATCTGAATCTAAATATACATACACACAACTGAAGTATCTTTTAAAGTGTCTATATGTAAATTTTGTATAACTTACAAATATTTACAAATATTGTAAAACTTTACTATGTAAATATTACTATAAATATTATATAACCCATTCTATAAAATATAAGTACTATTAGTTACTATAACAAAATAACCACATCTATAATTCCCTACCTCATAGTGTATTGTTAAGAATGAACTGAGCCCATTTATAACCTTTAAAACAGGGTTTCTCCCCATGGGGGAGGGGAAGGAAAAAAAAAAAGAGGTTAGAGTGGAAGAGAGCCAAAGCATAAGAGACTCTTAAAAACTGAGAACAAACTGAGGGTTGATGGGGGGTGGGAGGGAGGGGAGGGTGGGTGATGGGTATTGAGGAGGGCACCTTTTGGGATGAGCACTGGGTGTTGTATGGAAACCAATTTGACAATAAACTTCATACATTGAAAAAATTATAAATAAAACAGGGTTTCTCAACCTCTGCACTGTTGACATTTTGGGCCAGGTAGTTCATAATAAGGAACCGTCCTATGCATTGGTATATCGGCATCCCTGGTCTGTACCTACCAAATGCTGATAGCAACCTCTTCTCCCCAATTTGTGATAACCAAAAATGTTTCCAGACTTCACTAAATGTACCCTGGGTGGCATTAAAACCCACTGGTTTAGCTATAATAATAAATAATTGTAAGCACTATTCAGTTGTGAGATATTTTCTGCTAGACTGTAAATTCCATCAGGGGAAGAATTTTCGTCTATTTCGTTCATTGCTTTTTCCCCAGTAACTAGAACAGTGCCTGGCACAAAGTAGGTGTTCAGTAACCATTTATTGAATTAATTGAATGAATGATTAACTGGCATTTTTGAAGGCTTCTGTGTTCTCAGCATTTTGCCAAGACTTTATATGTGTCATCCTTTTTAAACCTCACATAAAATATGTGATACATACTTTTAATCTGTCCATTTTGGAAGTGAGTTCATGGAGGCACAGAGAGGTTAGAGGAGTGGCTTAAAGCCACAGGGCCAGGGGATGGCAGAGCCAGAACTCAAATCTCTGTCCCTGGCACCAAAGCCTGTACCCAGTGTCACTCTGCTGTATGACATAGGTCCACTATTTGTAGATTGGCATTTTTATTTATTTTTTTATTATTTTTTTAATGTTTGTTTGTTTTTGAGAGAGACAGAGCGTGAGGGGTGGGGAGGGGCAGAGAGAGAGGGAGACACAGAATCTGAAACAGGCTTCATGCTCTTGAGTTGTCAGCACAGAGCCCGACGCGGGGCTTGAACCCACAAACTGTGAGATCATGACCTGAGCCAAAGTCAGACACTTAACTGACTGAGCCACCCAGGAGCCCCTGTAGATTGGCATTTTTAAAATAGCCCAGATTATCTATTAATGGCAGCAGCAGCACCCTGCTTTTTTAATTGTGTCTGTAATGATCTGTAAGTGAGGTTTGGCACAGTACCGAATATAGAATTCACATAGTTTGTTGTTGGTTTCTGTGTATGAGGCATAGGTTTTGTGAGTTTTGGTAAAACATTTTACTAGAGAGAAAGCATATTTTGAATCTCGAGGTCATTGCAAGTAGTGAGTCAAAAATGGGAAGAGTAGGAAATAATATTTATGAAAAATACTCTTTTCTTCAGATTCAAGTTATAACTTAACCGTTTCTGGCTCAGAGATTAAATCCTTAACTTTTATTAAGTGTTGAGTTGCAGTGACCTACATTGTAATCTTTCTTTTTCTTTTATAATTTATTTTGAAGCCTTGCTTTTAGTTTCAATTTGGGCAATAGGAAATGTGAGCAATTTTATCACATTCAAAAAGGATAATGTAAAGTTTAACCTTTTAATGTGAAGCAATCTTAAAAATGTGAGTTAAGTGAAACCTTTTTACACATGTTCCAATCTCACCCGTTGTCCTAATGAAGCAGGACTGTGCAGTTTCTTTTGATCCACCCTTCTTCCCCGCTACCTCTCTTGGGGGATAAGGCAGCTGCCAACCCAGTGTACTATTTGGCTGGCATTTTGTGTCGGTGAGTGGTCATCACTCTGGGAACAAAATTAGCCTTCCCCTTCTGAAGACTTCAGGAATCCAAAATACTTGACAACGGTTTTTTTCCTAGCTTATCATCTGGTTAGTGTATAATCCTAACTGTGTCCCCACACTAGCATCTACCTTAGAAAGTGGGAGGAAGGAAGAACAAGTCGATTTTTATGTC